CCTGCCTTTAATATTACGAATAAGAATTTAGAACTTAAAATGGTTATTCTAGGTATAGAGCAAATCCATCCCCCTCTGGAAAAGACTCTCTCCTCCCCACTACAAATGAAACTAAATTTCTCCTTTTGGTCTTAACTCCCATTACACAAGTATTTTAAGGTATTAGTTTAGAAACAAAATGGTTTTGGCTATTCTAGTGAGTTGAATGTGCAGAGATTATCTGTTTCCAATCGGAAATACCAGGCTTTAAGAGAGATGTAAACACAAGATGCCTCACTATAAGAGTAACACTTTTTGTTTGGGGCATTCAGAAGTAATAACCAGTGTGCCATTGATTTCATTTGAATTAGTGGGCTTTTTTTTTTTTTTTTTAAGAAAAAGTATGCTTCCTTTATAAGGACATTTACTTTAAAAAAATTCTGTTGCAAAGATCTTGCTAGACATTCTATTTATGCACCCCCCCCCCCAAAAAAAAGGCAGAGCCCCGGAAATGTTATATGAGTACATTTTTCATTTTCTGAAAATACTAGGATTCCAGAGGTTAGGACAGAATTGCTTGTGAATAAATTCAAGTAGTCAAAAATTGTCCAGAGCTTTATAATAAAGACATCTCATCCATTAAAAATGCTAATGATGTTACCAAAAAATATACATTCTCTGAAAGAGCTTTTTAACTAGTTGAATCATCAATTTCAGGGTACTTAATTTTTTGTTTCCTTATAAAATAATATTAAATTTGTTCCTCTGATGTTAGGTCTTTCTTCTATGTTCAGATCCCAAAAGTACAAAGACCAGGTTACTTTAAACCTGAAATTTAAACATTAAATAGCATTATAACTTGTATTTCAATAAATAATGGGCTTGTCTACCACAAAAGAGTTAGTTTTTATTCTCTGTTGAACATTTACAGATGTGGGCACTTGGAATAGGAAATCATCACTGCAATGACAATAAATACATGTGTTTACCACTTGGCTTTTTGTACAATTTGTACTGACTAGATAGGGTAAAGTAAAAACATGGCTGGAGGCTGAGGCAGGAGAACTGCTTGAACCTGGGAGGCAGAGGTTGCAGTTAGCCTCCCAGGTTCACATCGTGCCCCTGCATTCCAACCCGGGCCACAAGAGCCAAACTCCGTCTCAGAAGAAAACCAAAAAAAAAAAAAAGCATGGTTGGGCATGGTGGCTCAGCCTATAATCCCAGCACTTTGGAAAGCCGAAGTAGGCAGGTCACTTGAAGTGAGGAGTTCAAGATCAGCCTGGTCAATGTGGCGAAACCCCGTCACTACTAAAAACACAGAAATTAGCTGAGCGTGGTGGCAGGCAACTGTAGTCCCAGCTACTTGGGAGGCTAAGGCAGGAGAACCACTTGAACCTGGGAGGTGGAGATTGCACTGAGCCGAGACTGCACCCCTGCACTCCAGCCTGGGTAACAGAGCAACACTTGATCTCTAAATAAATAGATAAATAATAATAAATCACATGACTATTTAAGATATCTCAAACTCCAGATGAACACAGACCTTGATTCAAATGAAAATATATATACAGCTGAATGTTCATGAGGTTCAAGAGCTCTGTTTTGTTGCACTGAAGGAAATTTCATAGAAGATGAAAGGAATGATGAGAACAAAGCCCATGGCCTCCCATTTTGCATAAACACACCATTAGAAGAAAGGGATCCTTACTGAGTGCCTGCTATGAGGGGTACAGGAAGGAAAAAGTCAACAGGAAAGGAAGGAGAACCAGAATATTCTGCTCTGTAGGCATTCTGAATCATGGAAGCTTTATTTTAATCAAAATATACTGAAGTGCAAACCCCTGAGCGGCATGAACTTTGTTGTTCTAGTCTCTGTGTCCCCAGTACTGCAAACAGGGTCTGGTACAAAACACATCCTTAAAGTTTGATTAACTATTGGTGATGGAATGAATGACCAAAATCAGTAAGCCTCTATAGTCTTTTAGAAGAGGATCAGAAACCACGGCTTTTCATGAACACCTTCACCAGAATTATTTTTGCATACAGGGCTCTTATTGCTTCTTCTCTTCTCTAAAAAGCTATTATTAATTTGTAGAAAGTTTGCTCCTCCTAAAAAAGACTCTTAAGCACCCTACAAACTTGGTTGAACATCAACACGATGTTCAAGGGTTATTTCAAAGAGCTGCGCTCTATCAGCAAAGAAGCATATTCTATTCTTAGCATGTTGAAAAGGAGTATGGAAAATCAGAAACAGAAAAGTTGCTAAAAACAGGGCCTCTGTTAAGAGACTAGGAGAGGCTCCAGCAGACTTCATGACCCCACCTCTGGGGGTGATCGGACAAAGGGGGTTTTGGGAGTTGTGAGGAGGAGCGGAGAGAGGGGTTGGCAGTGTGAGGGGCTGTTTTGGTGTTGCTGGGCCAGGGAACAAGGTGGACAGGGCTGGGCATCCAGTCCTGAGATCCTGAAGTAACAGTGGGTGGGTCTCAGGGCACAGCACCTTGTTGGGAGGGGTCAGAGAACTGCTCAAATGTGGGACACAGAGGATTCCCCAAGTAAGCTGGTCACAGTGTGCCTAAGGCCCTCTCTCAAGAATCCAGGTGGCTCTGTTTCTCCAGGCCTGCGACGGAATCGAGACGCACAATGCAATCACTCTGTCAGAAGTCTAGAAGCAATGAGTGGGAATGGAAAATTGCAGCAATTCCAAATGATGGAAAGGGTGTTTTAAACTCCCTGTTTTACACTGCCGAGGAAAGCTGTGGTGATCCCTAAATCAAAGCCTGCCAGAGCAGGTGGACACCATGAGAGGACAGGAAGGACACAAAATGCATGACCAACAATCACTTTCAAGGTCAAGACACCAAAGCCTGGATGAACATAAGATGCAAACTACTGTGGTTTTGTATTTTCCAAAGACCAAGCTGTCGGTGCCTGCAGAGGCCCAGAGAACCAGTCTGGAGGCAACTCCATTGGCTCCATTTTAATCGACGCTTTCCTATTCCTAAAGAGGGCCCATGTTAGCAAACAGATCGCACGAAGATGAGGCAGCTTGTAGACAAGAGGTCAATAGAAAGCAGTCTTCAAAGGCTTCCCAATCCACCCATTTGTCTTTTAATTGTCCCAAGTAACTTCAACCAAGTCAACACCCAGTGATCTTAAAAAGGTTTCTACGGAAGCCACATCTGCCACTGCTATTGGTTTGCAAATGCAAAAACGCCCGGGTTCACATTCTCAAAAACACTTACAAACTTAATATTAAAGTCCTCATAATTGCTTTCCAATTTCAAAATAAACATTATAAATGAAAAAGAATGTTACTGGACAAAAAAGAAAGGTCATGTTAGTACTAATAGTTAATATATTTATGTCAGTATTGAAATATACTTTGCCTATTTCTCGCAAGTCAAAGTGTTAACTAATTGAACAACCATCACACATTTAAGCACCTTTATCATTGATATTAGTTTCCAAAAGCTTTATAAAAAAGTGTATTTTGCATGGATACTTGGAAATAATTTTATAATTTACAAACGTATCAAAAACATATATATGTAATATGTAAGCATTAATATACAAATTTGTGAATTAAAACAGAGAAAAGGTTAGTAAAAGTTTCCAGAAAAAGAATATAAAATGTCTAGCTTTTTCACTTTTCTGTGAGAATACTCTATTAAAGGAGTTCAATAAATGTATCTGTTCACTTGATGGAAGAATGTTTTTCAGGATAGCTTTTTCATTATTTCACAAGAGCAATCTTTAGAAGTAGTGACAGGTTCTATCACATCTCCTAAATGATGTCCCCCACACTTTAAATCTATCAACGTTTAGTGCTTTCCTCAAAAATCACTCTGATGTCTTTGAAATCCATTCAGAATAGGGAGTGGTGACTTTAAGGGAGGCTATGCTAAAGTCAATGAAACGGTACTTTAAGAAGCTTTAGAGTTACATTTGAGAAAAGCCACAACCCCTAATTTTAAATTTTCTTCAGGAAAAATATGACTTCTGATAAAACTGTTATCATCGGTATCTGTAAATTCAGATTTAATTACCAACTTTTGAAAAGGAAGAACCATGATCTGTAGTGCACGTTAACAGTGAGGTAGTGAAGGGACCCCTCCCTCCCAGTCCCATCACTGATTCACTGTCTCATGAAGAGTCACACAATGGTGCTGAATTGATTATCGGCCTGGCGATGCAACCTTGCCAGATCTCTGGCAGCTGCGTGTCTCTTGGGAGTTTTACAGTTATCACAGGTGGGGAGAGCCCTACCCCAGGAAGAGACTGAAGTGTATTATTACCAAGTTACAGGAAGAAAAGTTACCACCACTAGTCTCAATACTTGAAGCTGTTCTACTCAGCTGTCCCCAAACTCTAATGTATCAGAAAACCGAAGAGCTTTGGGAAGAAGTGGTGGTTTTATCTAGGCATGATAAAGTAGTAATAATAAAAGGGGGTGGGTGTGGTTGAGCGTAACCATGCCCTGAGTGGGCATTGGCACAGGCTGGGGCCACGGAGTCACCTTTCTGTTGTGCCTTAGTGCAGTTGCAGGTGCTCCAAGACATGGCCTGAACCTGGGTTCGTTCTGGACAGGATGGGATGGAGGAGGGACCATGTAAGAAAAATCTCCCTGGCTCTTCCCAAGCCACTTTTGGAAGCGATGGAGGGACAGCTGGGCAATAAATACCTGGAACATCAAAACAGGACAGGCTGTCCTGAAATCGTTTGCAACCCTACAATGTTACAGTAAACAAAATGGCAAAAATCAATCCTGCTGCTGCTTCTGCTCTTGGTCTCAGCACACAATAGGATAGGCCAGTGTGAACAGCAGTGCCAGAGCTGTGCATTATGGGAAAAGCGATGGTGCAGACATACATCTCTAAAGAGAGTTCATGGATCCTCTGGCCCACATCCCCTCAGAGTGATACACTCACATAGATGGATTCTTTCCCATAGGTTAAGACACTGCTCAACAGGACAAAAACATGAAGAAGGTGGAAAATTAAGAGGGCGAATGGAATGCTTACTTTCTCTAAATGCTTTACAGTAGCCAAGGAAAGATAACAAGAAGAACAGGGCACACAGGAGGTCTGCACGGCCAACAACACCAGCAACCTTAAAAGAGGGGAAGAAAACAAAGAATTACATCAAACACATTTAAGCAAATCCTAAACTTAGGAGATACAACAATTTTTTTTTTTTTTTGAGACAGGGTCTTGCTCTGCTACCCAGGCTGGAGTGCAGTGGTGTGATCTCGGCTCACTGCAGCCTCAAACCCCCTAGGTTCAAGCAATGCTCCCATCTCAGCCTCCTGAGTAGCTGGGAGCACAGGTGCACACCTTCATACCTGGTTAATGTTTGTATTCTTTGTAGCGACGGGGTTTCATCGTGTTGTCCAGGCTGGTCTTAAACGCCTGGGCTCAAGCAATCCACCCACCTCTGCCTCTCAAAGTGCCAGGATTACAGGCATGAGCCACCACGCCCGGCCAAAACTAAAATTCTTTAGTCATATTAAACAATAAATAAATAAATACACCATGTAGCTGTGCGATAGCACTTGGTGTTATCTTACAATCGGTTCTCTTCTCCCTTTTGGGCACAGGACTTGATTTAACCGCCTCAAGAGAACACTAAATTGGTTTGAACCTGCTGCTAGCTATTCTGCTGGACACAGATGGTGATACGCATGTGCCGTAAAAGCTGTGTTCTTTAACACACAATACCCAAGAGTTCCAAAGACTTAGCCTTCTGAGGTCGCAAAGTGGATTTTCCATTGGAAAATGTTATCAGCTCAAAGGGCATGATATTTAAAAAATAAAATGTGATTGGAAACATGAAGGACATAAAGGTGTGAAAGAAGTGTGAAAAGCCGTCCTGCCGATAGAGAAAGACACAGGAGTAATCTTTCAAAGCTGCCTCTGCCCTTTTTTCTTCCCTTCAGACCAAAACTGATTAAGTGGGTTAACCTGGAAAGCGAAATGCTTCAAGAATGATTAACAAGTAGGATGAGAACAGAATACAATTTCTGCCATTTCTTTCCCACACTGTCCACAGGATGACTCTGCCATTCCCTTCCTTTCCTCAGTGAGAATGAAACAATATAAACTTTGTGTTTCTTTCTTTCAGGCTGTTTTACGGTGATGAAAGACACAGAATTCCACCCAGGAGTACTGGACTAGTATAGCTGGGATTCTTTACTAACTGGCACCTGAATGTGACATGGATCCAAGCTTCTGCTGTGATTGCACCGGTGTCACTTTAAAGGCTGGTAGGTTAATCCCTTCCCAAAGGACAGGGACATGTGAGGGCAGAATAAAGGACTGTTCTATAACTCAAGATAAGAAAATACACAATGAAATTACTATATTTACATATAATGCTCAAGTTCATGTGCAGTCAATAGCTAAAACAGAATGTCTTTCAGGAGCAGGTTTCCCTATACTGGTTATATATGAAATGCCAAGGACCATTCGTCACTTTAACTGTGACCTCCTGACGGTGGGCACGTGGCAGCACGTGGCAGCCCGTGGTGTCAGGTGATGGCTGGGAAGACTGAATAAGCAGATAAATCCACCCAATGAGCACCACACACACACAGACACTACCAAGAAGGAAGCTAGGGACAAAACAAAGGCTTAACAGCTCTGGAACAAGTATGCCAGTATGCTGGAGGGGAACAATCCAATTGCTTTATGAATGAAATGAATAAGCAATGGGAGCTCTGGAATACTCAGGGCTGGAAACTCACTCAATCGGGGACACAGTAAAACAGTCAGATATGCAGCCACCCAGAACAGAGCCTGGCACAGGCTAGATGCAGCTCACTGTTAGTTCTTCTGGTGGGTCCTATGGGGTGTGTCTATGAACAGGAGTAACAGAAAGGAAAAGGACAAAGGACACAGAAGCCTAGGCATTATCTCTGCAGCCAGCCCCGAGTGAGTGAGGAGGCAGCTGGAGCATCCTGGCTGTCTGGGTCCTCATGTCAGGACACGAGAGGAGACAGGAGCATCCTAGAGCTGTAGCTATCTACAGCACCTCAGGACGGACTGGAATCCCAACCCCTTAGAGAAAAGAAAGCAATGAATGCCAACCCAGACAAGCCTGTCCGAAAGGGACCACAGAGAACAGGGTCAGGGGAAGCAGGGGAGCAGAGGTCAGAGAGCAAGGGAAAGAGAGGTGAGTGAGGGAGAAGGAAGCAGTTTTAACAATACTGGAGCTAGGAGTCAGGAGAGCCAGGCTGCCTAAACCACTTGCTATCGGGATAGCTAGAATCACCAAAAATGAAATTTAAACATCAAAAACTCATTTTTACAGAAATGTTTCTTTTTGCTAACTGTTGAAGACAGTCCCAAGACTGTAAGCAATGTACATTATGTTCCTTGACATAAAGAAAAACAAAAATTTTAAAGTATGGAAAGTGTTTTAAAGCAAAAGAACATTTAGTATTTACAATGAATTTCTGGCATAGTAATTAAGAGAGGTTTCACTGAAAGAATGTTAAAACACTACCCGAGGAGGGATGCATCCAATCACTGCTTGAGAATGTACATAAGCAACAAAACATTTTCTTTTCCTCTTCTGATATCTGCATAATATGTATTTTGAGGCAAACTTTTCTACAAAGGCTATTTTTTTCTCACAAATAACGTAAAACGCTCAGAGTTTTTGGAGAAATCACTGCAATTCCCCTGAATCCATAAAGCAGGTGGCTTCATTGTTTCCCCAGTAGGTACAATTTGCATGGGGGCCATAACAAGAAATTAGGGAGGTGGGGAAGGTTTCTGCACCTAATTCCTTTTGGATTAAAGTCTGGGTTCATTAGACAGAACTCTTTTTAAACCTTTGTTTAATTTTTTTACTTTTAGAGACAGTGTCTTGCTCTGTTTCCCAGTCTGGAGTGCACTGGTGTGATCACAGCTCACTGCAGCCTCAAACTCCCAGGCTCAAGTGGTCCTCCCGCCTCAGCCTCCCAAGTAGCTGGGACTACAAGAGCACACCACCGCACTGGGCTACAGGCAGAACTCTTAAGGGGGTCTGAGCTTCTCTCTTTGATGCAGGAATTCAGGCAATGTGAAATCTTCTCCATCACTTTGAGGAAAACAAAAAGCAAAACCCACATAAGCCACCTCTGTCCTCAGGGAAGCACTGGGGTCCTCCTGCTGATGGCCACACAGAGCTGAAGAGCCGTCAGCAGACCAGTGGCCGTGTGGCCCTCCCAGGCTCTCCTCGCTGCAGTGGGGACTGGTCTGTCAGAGGCTTTGGGTGTTTACAAACCTCTGAGAGCAATGTGGGGTGGCTTGTTAGAAAAAGAGAGACATTCCCATCAGCTGAGGAGCACAAAACACCAATTGCAATTACAGCATCACCAAGCCGAGACCAGGAAGGGGAAAGACTGGGGTGTGGCCAGGTCAACCCCATTTGCCCCGGCTGTCCTGGCTTTAAAATGGAAAGTCCCCAGACCCAGAACCTTCTCAATACCAGGCACACTAGACAGCTGATCACCCTAGAAGACCGGAAAATTTAGGTACTTATTTGCAGTGGGCAAAATCATTTCCTGTGTTAAATGCTGGAGAGTGGTAAAGACACATAACATATTAATATAAATGTTAATATAAAGAAATTCATGTCAGACCAGGTGCAATGGCTCACGCCTGCAATCCCAGCACTTTGGGAGGCCGAGGTGGGCGGATCACTTGGGGCCAAGAGTTTGATACCACCCCCGTCGCTACTAAAAATACAAAAATTAGCTGGATGTGGTGATGCCCGCCTGTAGTCTCAACTACTTGGGAGGCTGAGGCAGGAGAATCACTTGAACCCGGGAGGTGGAGGTTGCAGTGAGCAGAGATTGCGCTACTGCACTCCAGCCTGGTCAACAGGGAAAAACTGTCTCAAAAAAAAAAAAAAAGAAAGAAATTCATGTCACTAAAACATGCAGAGGCCTATACTGCTATGGCTTTCTCTTAATAAATGTACAATGAGGCAAATGTGGCAAACTGAGGCAGTTTACTAACCAAATCCTCATTTCCTCATCCCACAGGGATCAACGTGGCTGGGGATGCTGTGGGCCAAGGCCATCATCCAGGCTGCTGGCCCTGCCGGCCAGAAAGCGGGGCTGGCTCCTGGGTGCTGGACGCCTGGAGGAGCTCACCTGCCACCGTTTCCTTGGGTGTCCCGCTCTTTGCATGTTTTTAAAGCTGGAATGTTTTTTCTTTTTTTTTTTGAGACAGAGTCTCGCTCTGTCACCGAGGCTGGAGTTCAGTGGCATAATCTTGGCTTACTGCAGCCTCTGCCTCCTGAGTTCAAACCATTCTCCTGCCTCAACCTCCTGAATAGCTGGGACTACAGGCATGTATCACCATGCCCAGCTAATTTTTGTAGTTTTAGTAGAGACGGGGTTTTACCATGTTGGTCAGGCTGGAGCTCCTGACCTCAAGTGATCTGCCTGCCTCGGCCTCCCAAAGTGCTGGGATTACAGACGCGAGCCACCATGTTCTGCCTAACACTGGAATTTTTAACTGCAGGGTGGGAGATAACAGGGAAATGCAGACAGAAGGAAACTGAACATTATCTGCAGCAACACGGAAAGATAAACATAGAAAATATCTCCCTTACGATGCTAACTGTTAATTCTCCATAAGTATTTCCTGAAATCTGAGTTTGAATGGATGTCATGGTGGGAAGGGGAAGAGATAAAGAGGTTTTTCAAATAGTCCCTTTTCTCCTAGAGCCAGCCTGCCTCCGTTTCCTTTTAACAATCTGGAATGTGGACTTTTAAGATGACCGTGTTCCCAGGTTGCATTTATCCGAAGTGTGTGTGAGAGAGAGAATGTGTGTGTATGTGAGTGTGTACGTGTGCAAGCACATCCAGTTATACTTGTTGGCACTTGAAACCTTTTCATAAATCAACTTCTGAATATTTAAAATGAGAATTTTAGAAAACTCTCCTTGGCTAATAATTCAAATATTTCATTTTGCTTTCAAGATCATGCTAAATTAGACGAGATGGAAAACAGAATCAGTACTTTTCCAGTGAATCTCTATCTTCCATAGATTTAGGATCAATGCCTGCGCTATTTCTGGGTCCCAGAGAGAACTCAGATTGAAACAAAATCTAATTCAGTCACAGTTATGTATAAACAAAGCGCTTATAACTAAATTTTCACACAGCTGTCCCCAGCCTATCCAGCCCTTAACATCCTCTGAATTTGCTGAGGTAAAAAATAAAATAAAATTTAAAAAGATATTAGAGGAGGGGGTGATAACAACTCCGTAACACTCTTGATTCCAAAGAATAGACAATTTAATGAAGTCAGGGCTAAAAAGAGGACTTCTGCTCAGCATCTTGAAACTTCAAGAAGCAAAATGCAATGGGTTAAATGTAGACATTTCAATCCGTATGAAATGAGCAGGCTACTGTGAGAGAAGTAATAAAGGTATGTATGGTATTTTACACCAGGCACTTCATGCTCACAGAATGAGTGATTAGAATCAAATCTTTTACCTCAGCAAACATGCTACCTTGCATTTTGAAAGTCATGTGGTGGTGCAGGGGGTGGATTCTGAAAACTTCACAAATGCCTACTGAAATCCCAGTACAGCCTGTTCCAAATACACACAGAAGCAGCCTGATGGGATGGAGACGTAGTCTCTGGGAGGCCAGGTGGGGCACCCGTCGGAGCTGCCTGATCACGGGGGAGAGGATCACACAGAGTGAGGAGGAGGAGGAGGAGGGTGGAGAGACTCCAAGAGCAGCTCCCCAGCAGGGCGTGGGCGCTGCTTTCCAGTTCAACTCCAAGTATGTCAGCATCTCCTCAGTGGAGGCGTGGGAAGCCCAGGATTTAAGTCCCACCCCACATCCACTTGCTCCTCACCCTATATAAATTTTTACCCTCCCAGGCCGTTCCCTCATCTCTAAAGTGGACACTGTCACATTAGCCCAGCTGGTGTCATAGCGTTTTCATAATTATTTTAAGTCTAAGAAAGGATTTTATAAATCATAAAGCTGTCAGTGAACACGGAAACACTGCAACAACCCTCCACTGAAGAATGGTTCTTGGCCTTTGAACTTCAGACTCCAAAGCCAGGCAATATTCAACATCTGTGCCTTCACAGCTGGTGTGTTCCTGGAAGCTGAACAGGAAGTATCAGCAGAGAACGCACCATCCCTTATCACACAGTCTCCACCAATATGGTGCTTTGCATTTTTCCACAACAGAGATGTCTCTGTCCCAGAGAGGACTGTTTCAAATGTCTGACCAGGTATTTATGTAGTGTTCTTTCTATTTCTAGAGTATACTACAATGTAGACTTTCTTCAGCTCTTGAACCAAGATGAGTACATAAAGGGAGCCTGTTTTAGGAAACCGGGCGACACAGGAATGTCGTATCGCTTCTTACGTGCATACAGATGCCTCAGGCAGACAATACTTACACATTCGGTGTGCACAGGATGGACAGCAAACAGCAGTGCAGCCAGCAGGGACGCCCTCGGGGCGAGGTGTACCCTCCGGCCTTTACTGGTGTACTGTAGGCCACCAAACAGAACCGAGAAGACGTCCACCATGAGGACAGAGATGCCACCATGAAGAAGGATGTTGACCACGTGAAAGCCCACGGGGTAGAAGCCTCCTGACAGGTAGTAGTTAATCCTGCAGAAACACAGGGTGTTCAGGGTAGACGTGCAGTGGCATGCGGCAAGAAATGGCAATGGTCTGGAGGAAAAGGCTTTTGCATGGAAATATGAAAAGGAGAAGCGGAAGATGTTGTGCCAGCCTGATAAAAACAGCATCAAGATAAATAATGCCTGTCGAGCTAAGAAGGTTGCAGAAAAGGTGGGAATGTAATTAACTACAGGGAAAAATGGAGGAAATGGAGGTGTCCAAGGGGAGTGGCGCTGAAAACAACTTGCAGAGGAGAATCGAAAGGAAAGCTAGACAATTCTTTAAGTGCAGAAAGGGCAAGGTTGCATTCCAAGAAGATCGAATATTCCACACATTACTCATGGCTACCCACTAGGGACCTGGATTTAAGATAGTCTTGTAACTTGATTATCCTCCAAAAAAGGGCTCCTTATCAGTATGCCCACCAGCCTTCCACCAGCAAAACACCCTCATGCTGGCAGGGGTTCCTATTCCGACTGCTTCTCAGCCGCTGGTGGTTCCAATTCATCACTCCCATGCTTCTGTGGGACATCTAAACACAAATGTTTAAATGCACCCAAGCAGCAGGTATGGACGAGAACCTTTATGAGGTGAACGCATCCATTCAGTGCAAGGGGCTCTCTGATTAATGAAGGGGGATAGTTTTTAAGCTGCATCTTGCTTCTAAGTATTGACTTGCTAACAGTAGAATGATTTATACCTTATTTATTTCTGTAGTGAAAAAAAATTAGTTTCATCAGCGGCCCCATATTGCTTTCACTCATATCATTTCATTGGTGTTAAGAAGCAAAAGGTCAAACCTCCAAGAAGTGAGAAAAATATGAAACACCACCAACTTGCAGGTCATCCTTCACAGCGGCCACGTTCGTGGTCTCTGCACCTAGAGACCCATGTATGTGAGCAGCTCAGACCCGCTCGGAGCTACTGACTAGAATCCTCAATGCTGAGAACCCAGTGACACATACCCGAGTTCAAACGTCACACACAAGCCGGAAGTGACCCCCCCAGACCCATCGATGTCACGGCCTACCTGAAAGTCAGGACGGTGAGAGGTCGGTAGGACTTGTGGCTGGTATTGCTGCTCAGTCGACTGCCCCAGAAGTCATGGTGCCACAGGTCGCTGAGGGGTGTTTCTGCTTGGAGGTCCTGCGGGGATACAAAGGGGTGTTCTGGACAAGGGTCTCCAGCTAGCCCTGGGCCAAGCTCCTCCAACTCTCACCCGGGATGCTGTCAGGCCTGCTCGTGGGGCTGCTGCACCCAACATGTTCTCCATGTTGATCATCTCGAGGTACATGTGGGCTTACCCCACCAGGCTTGAAACACCAAACAGCTCTCACTCTTCTGGGACGTAGTTGATACGCTGAAGGGGCTGTCGCAGACCCTGGTTTCCCCCAAGCTCTGCAGGCCCATGGCTCTGGTGTTGTGCCCCCGCCAGCTCCAAACCCAGAGGCTCTGCATGTGTGGGTCTCCCCTGGATGGTCACTCTCAACTCGTCACAGCTCAACTCCTCCTGCTGTTCATCTCCCAGCTGCCCAGCTCTGCCCTTCCTGAGCTGATCCATTTCTCTTCCCTGGGTCTCTGGGCATCTCACCCTGTCAAGCAATGTGTGGCACCCTGGCGACTTAGTTTCACATGACTACTGTTTGTGCCACTAGACTGGGCTCAGGAGGACTGGGCTACATCTGGGTTTGCTGGCTGTATACAGAAGGTGTTTAATACATGTCAAATAAGTGGACCACACAGCTAAATAAGATCACCATTAACCTTTCAGGTCTAATAAATAACTTACCAAAATGTCCTAGTTAAAACATAAGTATGGATAAACATATTTTTTTAAGTTTCCATTTTTGAACATGAGCTAAGCAGGCTGTGAAATCAGGAAAAAAACCCTTCATTTTAACAGATTAAAAAAAACCATTTTTAACAGATTAAAAAAAAAACACTAAATATTAAAGAAAACTGTACCTCTTACTGCTGGGTAGTTTAATTTGGTACTCTACCACAGATGCTTAAAAAGCCTTTTTTTTTTTTTTTTTTTTTTTACTTTAAAAATTACATTTTTTTTTTTTTTTTTTTTTTTTTTTTTTTTACATTTAAAGATGAAGGTAGATGGCTTAAACTGTGTCAGATGAGAAGAGAGGCAAACAAGGCACTGTGAAGTAAGTTAAGAAAAACGACGGATCGACTTTCTCTTTAAAGCATAATTAAACAGGAATGTCTTAGGGGCTAGAATTACAACATGCTGATCATTTCCCCGTGTTGTCAGTCAAGTTTCTTCATTGCAGTAACCAAATTCTGATTGATTTAAACAAAAAGGGAATTCTTCAAAGGGGAATGTGCAGCTCATGGATCCCATGTGGCCTGGAAAGCCAGGGCAGGGCCGAGGCAGGAGCACCCCACAAATCATGCCTGGGGCGGAGACTGCCTGGCTGCCTCTGGGCCCCCACCTCTTTGTGGGACCAGCTCCTGACTCCAACAGTTGGGCGCACCTGATGGGACAGCCCCTGTCTGTGCCAGCTCCCTAATCAAATGGTCTTCTGAGCCCCAAACAGAAACGGGTCAAATGATCGGTGGCCCCGAAAAGCAACAAAAGACCATGCCCATCATGCAGTTCAGCGCTTGTGACTTAAGTGCTTGCTGACTGAAAGGGAGAGGCTTGAAAAGAGGCCAGAGATGCAAAGCTGGTCACTGATGCCCACTGTAAGGGTGACATCTGCTTCCATGAGGATGGGCTTCAGAGGCCAGGAGCGCACTGACCATACCCCAAGAGTGGGTGAGGGATTCTGTGAAGGTCGTATGAGTCACCTGCTCCCTTGGTTGACTCAGTGGCAAGCCTGGAAAGCCCACCTTCTCCTACACTCTTACAGAAGTGCTTGGTCAGTTGAGAAGGGCTTGGGCAGAGGATCTTTCCCTTGCTTTGAAAAGGAAATGAACACCAACAAGGCTCTAAATATTTGATTAGGTGGAGCCTACACACAGCGGGTATGCTACAGGGAGAAAGGTCAATTCTTCCTCATCATGATTTATGGAAAAGATGTATTGTGTCTCAAATTCCCCCTAATTCCACTGTCTCAAAGAAGATCATCATCTCAAGAAACAAAAAAGGCAACTCCACACTGCAAGGAAGCATCTGGAAAACAGTCTCTAACATCACTAAAATCCAGTAACAGCCTGTTTCACATTACTGTAGGCACGGTGCCAATGAACAGAGGAGTGCCTTTCATTAACCAGGAGAAGAAAAAGGGAGGGCTAGCAAGTTAACAAAAGGGGCACAGTGTGATGCTCCCGAAAACACTGCCAAGACCATGCTCGGCAGAGCTACGAAATGGCTTCATCTGCCTCACCTCACAGAAGGAACAAGAATTACACCCAGACATCAGGGCCTCCACACACAGCCCAGCTCATGTTTTTGTTCTGCCTGGCTGACCAACATTTTTCAACATGGTTTCTGAATTAACACTTTATATGTCTCCTGCTTTCTACAAGTAGAAGAGTCAAGATATTCTCACCAAAATGAATAATGGAATTTAAACAATAAAACTCTAACTTTGTGAGAAAAGCAGTTTTGTGGCCATTAAGCCACCAATTTGTGCTGGGCAAGGTGGCTTGGGCTTGTCATTCCAGCACTTTGGGAGGCCAAGGTGGGAGGATTGCTTCAGGACAGGAGTTTGACATCAGCCCGGGCAACATCGTGAGACTGTCTCTACTAAAAATTTTAAAAATCAGCTGGGTGTGGTGGTGCATGACTGTAATCCTAGCCACTTGGGAGGCTAAGATGAGAGGATGGCTTAAGCCTAGGCATTGGAGGCTGCAGTGAGCTATGATCGCACCACTGCACTCCAGCCTGGGCAACAGAGTAAGACCTTGTCCCTGCCCCATGAAAAAGCCACCAATTTGATATAATTGTGTAGAGTTACTTAGTTCTCTTAAGCATGATTTAAGAAAGCACTGAAATAGAATCATCTACAGTAACTACTGAGTGAACTTGAAGAAAATTACAAATGAAAAACTCGAATTAAAAATAAACATTGGCTGGGTGCGGTGGCTCATGCCTGTAATCCCAGCACTTCTGGAAGCTAAAGTGGGCAGATCATCTGAGGTCAGGAGTTCGAGACCAGCCTGGCCAACATGGTGAAACCCCATCTCTACTAAAAACACAATTAGCCGGGCGTGGCATGCCTGTAGTCCCAGCTATTTGGGACGCTGAGCCAACAGAATCGCTTGAACCCCAGAGGCGGAGGTTGTAGTGAGCCAAGATCATGACACTGTACTCCAGCCTGGGTAACAGAGTGAGAATCTGTCTCATAAACAACCACCACAACAAAAAAAATCCATTAAAACATTAACAATACTCTACGTTGTGCCATCAAAATGGAGATCAATTGCAGTATTACGTTACAAATAAAATAAATGCAAATAAGTCATGTTTCCCCCTATACAATACATGTTTGTCACATAAAGAGTTCTTCACAACATTTTCAGCATGAAAATGACTTTATACTTATTTGGTAGAAACCATGACTTCATATTTTTAAAAGCATTCAACAGCGTTACAAAGAGTTGCTATAATTACATCAAGTAGCAAGCTAAATGTGTATATTCCTCCAAGTCTTCTTCACAGGCTAAGGAATACACATAAAATGTCTTCTGAGTAACAGACCGTCAAGAGGCTCTAACTAGTGCCATTTTCGAGTTCTTTCTCCTCTGGGCCTTGCCTGCCTCTGCATTTCTTGCTCTGGTTTTTAGCCTGCTTGAATCTTTTTCATCTTTTCCCACAAAGCTCTTTCTTCTGCCCTAACTCCGGGTAGGGAGTAGAAAAAGATTACCATTTTCCCTGCACTGATATATAGCAACCACTGGTAAGCAAAATTGACTAGGATTTTGCACGTTCAGCAAAACTGAATCTCCAAACATGAAACAAGCAGGAACTGCGGCGCCCATGGGCAGCACGTTCCTCCTGCCCCAGCAGCTGTCAGCAGGCTGTCCTGACAGTCTCAGAGGAGGACAAAGTGGCAGCCAGCTCCCTGCCTGCTGCTGAAGATGTGCCTTCTGGCAGGTGATCAGACCAGTCCATCACTGCAGCAAATGTGTGATGGGTTTTTTTTTTTTTTTTTTGAATGACTGGGGAAATGTTTCACAAAACCTGAAATACTTACTCTGCAATGCCCTGCAATACCCTTGCCTTGTAATCTTAGAAGAACGGCCTCTTTGATCCACATGTGGACTGGGGCTCTTGAGGGGAAAGCCTCAGCTCAGGGAGGGGTTCAGAACCTTGGTGCCAGCAAAAAGAAAGGCACTAAATCAGGGAGGCGATGTTGAAAAGAGACACAATAATCGAGAGCACGACTGGGGCCCAGACCAATGCCTAACCTACGTTCCACAGAGAACAATGCAACACAAACTTAGATGATTACTGACACACAGGTGAGCAGTTAAGTTGGCCAGAAAAGAGCTGAGATACAAACCTTATTGTTAACAATAGCTTCTGAATCATCAAAGACAAAGTCTCCATCATAGCTCCGTGCAAAACACACAATGGCCACCAATCCCACTACTAACTTAGCCCAGAAAGGAGGAAGAACAGGAGAGGGAAGGATGCGATCCAAATCAGCGTCCAACTCGGCCATTCTGAAAACTGCAGGCTGGTGGCCCCCGGCTCCAGCATTATGCTGGTTAGGAATCTGCAGGAAAAACAACATCATATAAACATTCACCAACATTGGTAGGACAGTTTCTGCAGTGAGCACCATGAGTAAGAGCTGGATAGTTATTTACACTATGATTTTTTTTTTTTTTTTTTTGAGATGGTGTCTCACTCTGTCGCCCAGGCTGGAGTGCAGTGGCACAATTTCAGCTCACTGCAACCTCCGCCTCCCGGGTTCAAGCGATTTTCCTGCCTCAGCCTCCCGAGTAGCTGGGATTACAGGTGCCCACCACCACACTCACCTAATTTTTTGTATTTTTAGTAGAGATGGGGTTTCACCATGTTGGCCAGGATGGTCTCAAACTCCTGACCTCATGATTCGCCTGCCTTAGCTTCCCATAGTGCTAGAATTACAGGTGTGAGCCACAGCACCTGGCAGCTATGCTATGATTTTATAGGATTTGATCATTAACAATTTGAAGTTGTGCTTTCCAAACTTCAGTGGGCAGAAAGTCACATGGGATGCATGCAGATTCCTAGGCCAGACCACAGGACCTATCAAATCAGATGCCCTTTGGTTTTTGATGCTGGAATACCCTTTAGAAACATGAATTTAATGGGATCCTCATCAACCCCACAAGGCAAATCATTTTTAATCGCCCTTAAACCAGTTTACAACGCTTAAAAAAAAAGAAGTTACCATCTGAGCTTCATCCAATCAAGAAAAATCAATAAACAGTCATTGTTGGGTTTTAGCACACTGTGTGTGGGGCAGGGGAGGGGGTAGTGTGTAAAACACAATCCTGCTTCTGAAAAAGCTTATGGTCTATTTGAAGCATTCAGGCACACAGGCCAGTGAGCCAAGACTCTGAGACAGAGACAGGGGAGTTGAATAGAGAAATCCTAAGGCGGGGCACAGCATCGAATGCTGGGTTCCCAGGTTAGTGGCTCACACACAGAGGACAGATAGAGGAAATGACTGGTGGGGACAATATCTTGTCCCAGAAAAGGCTGAGCCATACAAAGGAAAGGAAGGGAGGCTATTCTATGTGAGGATATGACCTTCAATCCTGGTGAAAGAGTCCAGATAAAAATATACACTATTTTGAACTTTTCTTTCAAATGGGCATAATGTTTCTCACCGGGGATGCCCGTGCCCGGGACTTGCCATGTGTTAGTTGTACGGTCCTGTGCACAACCCCGTTCCTCTCTGAGCCCACCCGCTGCGGCCCTCTGCAAAGCATCTTAACACCCAGTAGTGAGAGTTGCCTAAGAGCTTCCTGCCTTGGAATTCACTGAAACAAATCTCAGCCTATCCCCAAACTCACACTTTATCTGCCCCCATTCCTACCACATCCTGGACGGGGCTTTCTTTGGACTTACCAGAATCAGGTTTGGGTCGGACTGCTTGGCTCTGACCTGGAGTGCCTCTGGGCAACTTACTTGACCTCTCTGGGCCTCAACACCAAAACGCGGATGGTAAGAGTGCCTACCTTCTAGAGTCGTCATGAAGATTAAATGGGATTCCCAACACTGCCAGGCTGTAATGAAGGCTAAGAGGAAGCTATTATTACTAATACTTTCTTCCAGGAGGCTGAACGTAGAGGCACAGAATGATTTTCTAAGGGAAATCCCTTTTAGTATCTGCTTGATTGGTACTGAGGCTCTTGTCTTTACTAAAGGGCCTGGACCCTGTTCTTCTCCTGCAGAGATGAAAGAATCCCAGCCCCTTGACTGGGAAGGCAGTTTGGATGTATTTGTTTCTGGATCTCTAAGTGAACATCCCAGATTATAGAATCAGTAAGAAGCCAGCTAAATGGGCCACCTGAAGTCACAGGCATCTTTTTGATAGCCTTCTGTCTGAATGAAGATGGAGACAGATCCAACAGGTAACGGGCACACCATTCCATAGTGATGCTGTCCCCTTCCAGGGGCCAGAAGGAGGCTCAGATTTACACTCCAGAGATGTAACAGGCTGCAACTTTTCCATCACTTGTCTCTCAAGCCTCACACCTGACGTAAGGCATGCTCTCAGGAAGCGCTGGAGGAATACCGCAGCTACTTTTCTTTTCCAGTGAAAGGATAAGCCACTTCTCAAATCCAAATTACAACTGCAAACAATATAGGTCAGCACACAGGCCCTAACCTCTGTGCTTACATTTCAGCTTAAGAAATCACTCCTGTTACTTAAAAAACAACAAATCAAGGCTGGGTGTGGTGGCTCACGCCTGTAATCCCAGCACTGTGGGAGGTTGAGGTGGGTGGATCGCTTGAGCCGAGAGTTTTGAGACCAGCCTGGGCAACAAGGTGAAACCGCGTGTCTACAAAAAAAAATACAAAAAGTAGCTGTGTGTGGAGGCGCATTCCTGCAGTCCCAGCCACTCAGGAGGCTGAGAGGTGGGAGGATTGCTTGAGGTCCGGAGTTCCAGGCTGCAGTGAGCTGAGATCAACCACGGCTCTACAGCATGGGCAACAGAGTGAGACCCCATCTCAAACAACAACGACGATGACAACAACCACCGCCCCCAACAAAGCCAAACACTGAATAGTTAGGAAGATACTACGACTTAACATGGGGAGAATAAGAAAATTTAGAAAATTAATGTGAAGGAAAACAAATAATTCATGGCAATCTTAAATGCACAATAGAGTTGTGAGCTGACAAAAGGTCATGTAACTGGTTTTGACATGATCTGCTTTGTTGTTTCAATAGTGAATTTATTGGCTCGTGCGATCTATTTTTGGACATGGTGTCTTGCTATTTTGCCCAGACTAGATCCAACTCCTGGGCACAAGTGATCCTCCTGCCTCAGTCTCCCAAGTAGGTGGGACTACAAGAGGATGCCACTGAGCCTGGATATTATCTGGTTCAGTCTCAAATATTTGAATATCGTTTCACAAATGTTTGTCAAGGTTCAAATGGCCTTCCAAGTAGAATACTAAATCAGGAAATACTCTGTGCTCCTAAATTCTCGACGACTGTACCTAGGATTGTTTAGAACGTAATCATGTTGGTACCCAAGCAACAGCCCTAATATATATAAGGCAGACTGTAGACCATGCCATCAACCAGGTGCCCTGGTAGGCCAGGTCCAGACTCTTGGGAAGTCAAGTGGATGGCTGAGTCAGTGGATCTCAGATGATATTCTCTGCTCTTGCAGGGACAGCAGGGAACCTGACCTACCTCCAAGGTTTCTGCCCCCATATCACTTCCCAGTTCTGGCTGGCTCTCCCCTCCTCGCTGTGACTCCCCTGCTTCTCTATCGCAGGTAGCTCCTCCTCCTTTCTCCAAGGCCTCTCACTTCTTTTCTGCCACTGAAAATACTGACAAATGCTCTTTTCTTTCAAGGGATTTACTGTTTATGTATATAGTGGAATAGTTCAGAAAATGCCTTTCACTAGCAAATGCAAAAAAAGAAAAAAAAAAAAAAAACACCACAGCTACAATTTGTTAGAAAGCCAGTCAAAGTTCTCAATCTAGTTCAGTAGTTGAGACCAAAGGCTATGGAGACAGACAAACCTGGACTTGCCAGCTGCACGAACTTGAGCAGCTTAGTCTTTCTAAGGATCAATTTCCTCACTGGCACAGTATGGTACCACCACTACTTTCATCAGAGGGCTGGGGTAAGAATTAAAGGAGAGCACATATGCAAACAACTAGTTCCCATTAGTGTTAGATTTTGGAGAAATTAGCTGCTGCTTCCCAGTCCCTGACCTCCTGTCTTGAGCACACCCATGCTGCCACTGTTTATTCCTGCAGATGGGCTTAGCACCAGGGCCAGCAGCAGCCCATCAGGTGACCTGGTGCAACTGACAAAGGCGTACCCTTCTTTTGGGCTGATCCAGGGCACATGGCTTCCTTAGTCAGATGTCTTACACAAACTGTCCAACTGTACACATTGACCCAGTTCCCAACTCTCCTTCTTCCAACACTAAATGACTTCTGTTCCTCAATGACCTGAGCTAGGCTTAGCACTCAGGTAAAAGAAGCCCTGTCTGAGTAAGGTGGTAGAGACGGGGGACCACCCTCTTCACAGCTCCTCTCCCCCTTTTTTTTTTCCTATCACCCAGGCTGGAGTACAGTTGTATGATCATAGCTCACCACAGCCTCACCTTACTAGGCTCAAGGGATCCTTCCACTTCAGCCTCCTAAGTAGCTGGAACTATAGGCATATGCCACCATGACTGGCTGTTTAAAATTTTTTTTTATAGAGACCAGGTCTCACTATGTTGCCCAGGCTAGTCTCAAACTCCAGGCTTCACACGATCTTCCTGCCTTGGCCTCTCAACGTACTGGGACTACAGGTGTGAACCACCGTGCTCATCAGCACCATTTTTTATACCCCAACCATGAAGTAGGAAGTGATGCTCTGTTTTCTTCCAGATGGGCTCTAGGTTGCACCCTCTGGTCCCTCTTCTCCACATGATGTCCTGCCTAGGCTCCCTGGCTCCTCTGCCAGAGCTGGATCGTCAGTTCACCTTATGAAGCAACAGGAAGAGAGACCCACTGTGGCCTCAGCTACAGGCCAGGCAGAGGGCACAACCCAGGAGGAATGAAGTCAGTGTTCTGCTTGCCACCTAACTCCTACAGCAGAATCAACTGGCCCCTCAACAGGGGCTGAATCTAGAACAAAGCAGAGGTCCCTTGATCCTACAATTTCTCAAACTTCTCCTATCAAGCCTCTAATATCAAGAATTATCCTACAATTTCTCAAACTTCTCATATCAAGCCTGTTTTCAGGAGGTTAAAAGAAATTAATCAGCGAGAAGGTCAAAAAGAGGACTCCCGAAAAACAAACGTTATCCAGCTGTGAACCATGAGGACCCAATGACAGCTGACAAAGCAGCCTGGCCTGCAGTAAACAGAGTGGAGAGATCAAACCTAAATGTTTCCCCTTGGAAAAATTAGCAGCAGCCACCACTGAATAATATTTCTCTCCTTGTATCAAGGGCCTGCTAACCTCTGCCCAGCCTTTCTACCTCATGTGCAACACTTCAACTCCATAGCCAGCTATCCTCTGCCACGCTGAGAGGTGACAGCGCTTCTGGGAATCAGATTAGAGAACACGATCGTTTGTGACCCAGCATCGCTGGGCCTGGCAGTTTCCTAGATGATCCTATCCCGGGCCCCTCAAGTCAGGGGAGCTAGCCACCATCACCATCCTCCTCCATGCAATGCTGCATCCGTGCTACTGAAGGCTAGCTAAGATATCCTTCGGCTGCAACCGGCCTTCCCATTTTATAATTCAGTAGCACATGAGGGCCATGGCTGCCTATAGCAAGAATGTGTGTGGTTCGCTATTCACAGTTCCACTGTCCCAGAAAGTTTCCAGCTGGCTAGCCTGTAGCCATTTCCCCCATCTAGGTGCGCTGGCCGTCACTTTGCCCCCGCTTCATCAGGGCGCGCCAGGCGCAGAGGCGACTGCAGAGAAAGGGGACAGGGAGGAGACCTAGTCAGTCCCTACTCTGTTTCTCAAGACATTCTCCTCATGCATTTGCTCTCCCGGGGAAAGAGCGAAGTGTGGGATGACTCATAGTGGCTAGATCGTTCCTCTAACTCCTCCCTTCTTTTGTGTGTGGTTAAAAAAAAAGAAACACACACACGCAGCCCACAGCCACAACATCAACAAGACCAGAACCCCGCAGAGTTCGCAGGAGGTGGGCAGTGGCTGCGCCACCTGCTCGGCTTCCCCAAACTCCGAGCCCACGCCGGGAAGCGGCGGCTCGGTGGCCCCAGGCGCCCGGGCTGGTGGCCCCGCGCTCCCGCCGCTCAGCTCTGCAGCCTAGCGTAGAGTGGCAGGCGCTCGCAGCACGGCGGGGGAGCAGCCGCGAAACCCAGGGCAGGCGGCCAAGCGGCCCGGCTGTGCCCAGCCATCGCCTGCGCCGCGGCCAGCTGGCGGCCAGGCGCGGGGCCCCGCGGCCAGATGGCCGCTCCGGGAACGCACTGCAGACGCCGGGTGCGCCCGCTCGGCTGAGCCGGCAGGGACTGGGGCGGCGACCTCTGCCGGGGCGAAGGAGCGCAGGGACCCGAGCGGGTCGCGGGCAGGCGGGGCGCGCACCCTCCACGTCGTGCCCTTTGTCCCGCGTGTGGCTCACACCGGGGCCCGCGTCGTCCGTGACCCCGGCCCCAGCCGCAGCCCGGGTCCCGGAACCAACTCCTCCAGCAGCGCCGCCCCCAGGCCCGAGCCGCCGTGCGGGGCTTGGGACTCGGCGGCAGCGGGCAGCCGGCGCCCGCTCCGCGTCCAACTCCGCTCGCCCCTCAGCGCTCTCCGCCCTGCAGGGGCCGCCCCGCGCGTTACCTGCAAGGAGCCGGAGCCGCGACCGCATCTCCCTCCCGGGTGCGGAAACTCCAGCGGCTCCAGAAGCCCGCCCGGACCTAGCAGGGGGAGGGGCTGCCTGCGCACCACCCCCCGCCGCGCCCCCGCCCCCTGCGCCGCACCGCCCGCAGCTCCCCACGCGCCCGGGCGTCCCCCCAACACCCGTCTCGGCCCGCCCTCTCCTCCCGACCATTGGCTGCTGCTCCCGTCACTTTCAGGCCGCAGCCCGGTTCCTCCTCAGTTGATTGGCGGATGCGCCGGTGACGTCAGGCCAGGGGGCGCTAGTCGGCGGCGAAGGAGGCGCAGGGCCGGACGGACCCGGCGGTAGAGGAGGAAGCCGGGTTGTGGGGCGGGAAGGGGCGGGCGGCCCCTGCCGGGCCGGGCGAGGCGGGCTGCAGGAGCCGGAGCAGGCCCTCCCTCTTTCTTCGCGGTCCGCGCGCGGGACCCTATTTCTGACCTGTCTCGCGCTTCGCCCGCGCTGTGGTCCCCGCAGAACATCAGCGTCTCCGCGGAACAGCCCAAACTCCACTTCTTCCTGTCCCGGAGGAGTTGTTTAAAACGTGCGTGTCTCCACCTTCTGCTTCTCACAACAGAACTGACTGAAGCCGTGTTTTTCCTGCCGAGGCCATGCTGCGGCATGAACCCTGCTGCGGCCAGAGCCACCCAGCGCGCGCCCACTCACCACAGGCTGCAGCTGCTTGGTCCTGAACCTCCACTCCCACCCGAGTGATAGCCACACCCCCCACACGCCCACTCTCAGAGGTGTTTGCCGCCTGTTTCAGGAAAAAAGAGAAACTTATTCCACTTTCCTCCGGCGAAACTGCACACCTGTTCCCTCCTGTCATCACCGAGCCCCCCCCTTCCGTTTTTCCGGTATCGCAGAATCGGATCCATTGCTCCCTGTGGACTGGAATCCGCATCCTTGGCATTTCGTCATTCTCAAGACTCTACTGCACGCACCCTTGCAGCTGCCGCCCTCTCCTACTTTCCATCGCTGAAGTTGGTGAAGGAGGCGCCCCAGTTTTTTGGTTTCTCAACTCCACGTGTTCGTTTTCACACTCAGTGAAATTGCCTTTTTAATGGTCGCCAGTAACATCCGCATCACTAAAGCCAAAGGACACTTTACATTCTCATATTATTTGATCTCAGCAAAATTCCTTTTTCCTCCTTGAAACACGTCTTCCTGTGGCGGGAGGGTGCTCCACTTTCCTATCTGTCCCCAGTCTTGGCGCGCTTATCTGCTTTGGATGATCCCCAAATAACAAGAGTTTTCAAGGTCTCACACCTTTCCTCTTACTCCACAATTTTTCCCTGAATGATTTAACCTGCCGTCCACACTTAAACCAGTATATCCCAAATTTACCACTCTAATCTCTGCTCCTCTGAGCTCCAAACCCGTTTATCTAGCTTCCTATTCAGCTACTCCTCCTGCGTGTGTAATGACCATCTCAAATGGAACCCATCCAAAGCTGAATGCATGCATTTTCTGCTTGCTCTCAACTTCCTGCCTCCCGGTGATAGTGAAGACACCGCCATCCGTTCAGTGTTTCCCAAACTCTGCTTTCACTCCGGCATCTAACAAATCGCCAAGACTCTACTTCTTAAATATTTCTGAAGTCTGTCCACTTTCTTCCATTTCCTGTATTACATTTCGTGATGTACTTACTGCACATGCGTCTTCCCGGCCCACACTCAGTAATGTCTCATTGGTAGAATGTAATGGGCCGTGGTGGAAGTGTTTACACCGTGGAAATTAGCCAACATTGTGAACCATAAATCAGGGATTGATTTGTTTTGTTTATGGTCTCTAGACTTAAGAAAGTGATGGGGAAAATGTTAATAATGCAGATTAAACTTAAAAATGTGTTGCGCTTAGTGCTGAAACAAAAATATTGCAGTTTAATGAGTTTATACAAGAGTAAGAAGTGGTTTAACAGACCACATATCAGATTTAAGGACAATAAATTTGTTGGCAAAAAGGAGATCGGTATGCAATTTCACTAGTCGCCTCATAGTTGGATTACAAGCATTGGATGGATTCAGACACAAGCCTTTGGCAAAAAGGAACCAAAGCTTTCTGTGAGAATCAGTCAAGATAGAACTGACAATAAAGAGTATCTGCCTATTTTTTTTTAAATGTGTGTATTGTTTGTTACACATCCTTTTTATCAGAAACATTTATAATAAATGTATATTTGTATATATAGGCACATATTTCTATTTCCCCCAGCGAGTCAGCTGTTGGACATTTACCAGCACACTGCTGACTGACATAGAATCACCAGTGCCTGGTGGAAATAAAAACCAGATGAAATTTTAGTCGGTTTTAATATTGTCAATGCTCTGTAGACAACGCACCCCTTATCCCTTATTTCCTGCCCCAGGATGGTTTGCCCCCTCTGTGGCCCCTCTTGATAGGCCTCTGCTTCCCAGTACTCTTAGACTGAAGGTCTCAATCTTTCATGATCTGCAGTGCCACAGCATGATCAAGCCCCTTGCCTGCTACTCCTGAGTCATCCCATGCTTCTCTCTGCTGCATTCCATAGGCCCCAGCCATGTTGGCCATCTTGTGTCCTCCAGTGTGCTCTGTGCTCCTTTCCGTCCTGGGCTGTGCACATGCACCTGCAGCTCTCCCTCCTCCCCTCCTCCACCACACCTGGCTACCTCCAGTTCAGAGGTCTCCAACTCCTCAGGGCCACAGATGGGTACTTGTCTATGGCTTGTTAGGAACCAGACAGCACAGCAGGAAGTGAGCTGGCCAAGAGAGCAGTGCCATCTGAGCTCTGCCTCCTATCAGATCAGCAACAGCACTATATTTTCACCAGAGTAAGAACCCTGCTGTGAACTGTGCATGGGATGGATCTAAGTTGTGAGTTCCTTAGGAGAATCTAACTAATGCCTGATGATCTGAGGTGGAACAGCTTCATCCTAAAACCATCACCCCAACTCCCTCCGTGGAAAAACTGTCTTCCATGAAAGTGGTCCTTGTTGCCAAAAGGTTGGGGACCAAGCTTTCGCTGCCTTAATTCATTCTTCAGATTGCTATTCAAGGGTCATCTCCTCTGAAAACCCTGAATTATCGCCCCAAACACCTGTAGGTCCATCTGTGTATACTCTCATATCTCTTATTAAAACTGTAATTAACTGACAGTGTGGCCATTTGTATAAAGTCTATCTCCAACTATCTCACTAGACTGTAAGTTCCATGAAGGCAAGAACCATGTCTGTGTAGTTAACTCCTGCACCCCTGCAGCTACTGTGCCTACCACATAGCGGGCATTCAACAGGGTCTCTCCTAGAGAAGCTCAACTCTGTAAGTCGCGTTACATGTTATTGGCAAAACTGGAATTAGAATTGGAGTCTACTGACTTGATCCAATATTCTTCTGTTCTGTAAATTGAGGAGCCAGCCATGACCAAAATGATATAACCCTATGTGCCAAGAGCAGGGACAGGCTCTGTGGAGAAGATGAAGGTAAGCATGACACTGATTCCACCTCTTACAATCTTATGGTTTAGTAAGAAGGATGAGACACAGCAAAAATTCCCTTTTCCTGCTCCCCTATACTGACCACAACCCCTTACCCCCATCATGCCTTCTGCATGTGACAGCAACCCCCAGCCCCTTGGACAGGAGCTCTGGGGTTGTTGCCACACATGGAAGGCAAGATGCTGGTGGACCACTCAGTGTGCTCCAGCACTGTGCTTGTGTTATTTAATTCTCACAAAAGTTCCAGCTAGACATGGTGTCTCACACCTGTAATCCCAACACTTTGGGAGGCCGAGGCGGGCAGATCACTTGAGGTCAGGATTTCAAGACCAGCCTGGCCAACATGGTGAAACCCTGTCTCTACTAAAACTACAAAAAAAAAAAAAAAAAAAATTAGCTGGGGGTAGTGGGGTGGTGAGCACCTGTTATCCCAGCTGCTTGGGAGGCTGAGGCAGGAGAATCACTTGAACTCGGAAGGTTGAGGTTGCAGTGAGCCAAGATTGCACCACTGCACTCCAGCCTGGGTGACACAGCAAGAACTTTGTCTCAAAGAAAAAAAAAACAAAACCAAAAAACGAAAAACACAAAAGACTTCCGTCAAGTGCATATCATTATCCTCATCCTACAAATGAGGAAGGAAGCACAGAGGTCCAGGGTCAAACAGCCGGTACGTTACTCAATGAAGCCAAGACTGGGCACACAACCAAGGGATGAAGTCAGAGTTAAAGACCCTCCCACCTGCCTAATAAGGTTATGTTGGAATGGAAAGAACTGGAACAAAGGAGAGAGTACATATTGTCTTGTCTCCCTATACCTTCTCCCTTGTGA